GATATGGGGATTAGAGGGATAGTTCGGAGAAGTCGGGATATGGGGATTAGAGGGATAGTGCGGAGAAGTCGGGATATGGGGATTAGAGGGATAGTGTTCTTCGGAGAAGTCGGGATATGGGGATTAGAGGACCACTGATGTTGGAGTGAACACAGGCATCTTTCTAGTACTACTAATACCTATAAGTAGTTTCTAGTAATGATCGGGATGGGCGTGTGTACTTCTTATGTCTGTCTTCTGCTTCAGAAGATAAAGAATGCAGTTCCGCTAAAGTAAGGATCATTTTCTCTATAATATCAAAGGATAAGAATATGTGCCATATTCGACAATTCTCCCGTCCTCGCATCATTCCTCTGTGAAATTTGCAACAGTTCCGCAAAAGCATCTCCCGATGTTCTGCCGTAGTTGTCCTGCTCATCTCCTTCCCTGATCGATTCTTTAATGTCTTCTATTCCAGACAAAATCAGGGAACCACTTTCGCTAGAACGTTCTTCGCGTAGTCGTCGCAGCGTCTGGGTCGGAGTCTCTGCTGCCATTGGACTCGGTGTCGAATTCCTACTTCTGCGGCTAGTTGCAGGTCTAAGAAGAGATAGTTCTAGACTACGACTAGTACCACCTCCACGAGTGCGACCGTCGGACGAAGATGACGAAGCAGATGAACTGGCAGGATGCGCTAGGATCAAACTGGAATTATCTTCCTCCTGCTCATCTTCATTGGAGGTCTGTTCTTTGTCATTAGAGCGATAAAGAAGAACAAGAAGAAGAAGCTGCACCACCCGAATCTACTAAAATATGCAAAGTCACTGATAACATCGGGGACACCATACTCTTCACTCATAACATCAGGAACGGTTGCGGGCTGGTCACTATCTGCACTCTCGCACCTGGAGATAGGTGCTGCATTAACAGGAATGCTGATGTCCTCCTTCTGATCACAGTTGAACTCCTTGATCTTTTTACTCAATATTAACGCTTCTGTTCTACTTAGATCCTCTTGTACTGGAGGTTTTTCTTGTCCAGAACGTGCTCCTGGACCTCCAACACTATTGATCGTTCCGTCACGCACGGAACCTCCGACACTGGTATCACGTCCTCCATCGACACCGAAATCCTTCGAATCTTTTCGAGTAGTCGACAGTCTCGCTTTGAGTCGAGCCCACCTCCCGCGATGACGAGACTCTTCTCGGACGACGTCGACAAGAAACCGCTTCACACGTACGTCGACGCGTTCGCGCAGTTCGACAGGAGTGCCATCTTCCATCTCACTCCTAGAAGCTCTTGGCGTTTCTTCCTCAGTTGCAGCACTCAAACCACCTGCCGCAGCACTGACTCGAACCGCTTTCTTTACGTTTTCCATAGCGTGTCTGACATCTCCGATGTCAGAATCGTCGTGGTTCGCTAGTTCCGCACGAACTGCATTTTTGATTCCGTGACAAAACTCATCTGTCCCAAACATGCTGAACAAAACGTTAGACATGCGCTCTTCGGCAGTCGGTGGCAGAACCAGGCGAGCCATCTCTGTACCAGTCGGGCCACGTTGTCGTTCTTTGAGTGCCGATGAAGAAGAAGATTCATCCTGGTGTTCCTGCGTTGTTCCTGTAAACCCAGCATCTACTGACTCTGGACTGGAGACACGTGCATCGGTATAACTACTCCCAGTAGTTCTCTCACCATCCACAGAACCATCTGCCCCCTCCTCCAGCCCACCAGCAGCTGCTACAAGTGCACGAGGGAAAGCGTTGATCAGCGATTCCTGCAGAATAGGGTTCATCACTGGATCGACTAGGTCTCGGCAGAGAGCCGTGACAAGGTCTTCGGTTACGAACATGTTGTTCCGCGTTTCGGAAACACGAATCTGTCCTCCACCTGTTTCTACTTTCGTTCCTTCTTCATGTAGAAAACCGAAAGCTGCACCTCCTACGACAGCAATTGGAGACGAAGAAGACGCATACCAGAGAACCAGAATGCACGCTAGTACGCAGCTGGAGACAAAGGAGCTGATATCTTCCGACAGTTCTCCTGATGAGGGTCCTCCTAGACCTAAAGTGCTTCCCAAGAGAAAAGCTTCGTCGACTGCTTCTTTGCTTGGCCAAAGGCCTGTAGTTCTGGCAAAAAGCGTGCCTAGGTAAGCATCGTCTGTTGCCCCTCCATTGCCACCCACCAAGCTCTCGAAGAACAGGGATGTCATCGTTTTGATGTGAGTCTGGGAATCAATGATCCTGGTGAGTACAATTATAAGCTATCATAGTGTGGATGAAAGTCAAAGCTGTCTAGTGAGGAGTCGTTCCCGCGAAAAAGCTACAATTTCCAAATCCATAGACAGGGGACTACGTTCAGTTTCAATGGGGAAAAATAAAAAGCAGGGAGTACGTGTTTTGTCGCTCAACTATAGCGTGGCGCTCGACTCTCAAAATGCAATTTAACCGCGACAACGACAAGTCAATGTCAGTGAATCCAGATAGGACCATTGACAAGAGAAGCGGGTTGGCTAGCTCAGACTGAAACCATAATCATTCTTCAGAATGAATCGGCAACATGGATGCTACAAAAAGTATTGATGTTTCTTGTAAATGTAAGTAGTTGGAGTACAAAAATGACTATTGCAGTCTGTTTCAAGGAATTGTTCTTCAAAGTTGTTGTGTATTAATTTCAACTTCGCTTGACAAATCTACAACCGACTGTTGTTGGAAATATCATGTCTGTTCTCGAAGATAAATCCTACGTGAAGTGAGTTTTTATGCTTGCTATCCTCTATCGGGTCAATAGAAGAACTATTTTTTGCTCGAAAAATTATACAACGAACCATGTTGAACATCATGATCATAGTTCCCTAGCATGTTATACAACACCAATCTCATGGACTTACAAGGTGATGGAGAAGCAACAGTCTTCTTGACCTGCTCAAAATATATTAGCATCATGTACATCCCATCACCTTACCTTTACCGTCATTCTTATAGAATTTTAGTGTCTGACACATTCGAAGTCCACCTTTTGTTGACGAGAAGTAACTCCACCGTGAACTCCTCTACTCCAACACAGTTTGTGGCGTTGATGAGAAGTAACTCCACCGTGAACTCCTCTACTCCAACACAGTTTGTGGCTTCTTCGAGTCGCTAGGAGAGTTTTCCTCCATGCTCTTTTTGAAATCAAAGTCGCCACTCTCAGCTGGATCGTCCCCGATCTCCACTTCAACGGACTGGAAATCCTCCGACACTTGGCCCATCTGAATACCGGCAATTTCCTGTGGGGTCAGAATTTGGGACGTAGTTTTCAATCTCATGCTCTTGAGTACTATCCGAGATGTCAAATTGGAAATGAAATTCTACATGCTCTATAATAATCTCATTGGCCTTAGAAACTTACTCTCCCTAAGATAATAATTGAAGAACAAATATTTTTGCGGTCGAACAACAAGCCCAGCTACTACTAGCATATCAACATTATTGAATCTGTACAAGCAACAGCACATTGAAGTGTAATTGATACCTTATCAGTGCTTTCCAGCTGTTGAGAGTAGGCCATTTGGAGGCTGCGCTCGCTTGGTCGCCACAACATCATGATCACCATGAGCGGAAGTTAGAGATTGGTTCATGTGCAATGCCCAGCATAAGGTTGGCTCAGGATTCGGTATACTAGTAACTACGCTGCTCTGACAGCACATTATATGCGATCAAGAAATACTAGTAACTACGCTCTGACAGCACATTATTTGCGATCAAGAAATTTTGCCTGGTCCTTTGACATTAGGAAATGCACGAACATAGATTTAGATAGGTAGTGATATCGAAGTTCAAATCATCTTATTTCTCAGCATAAAGGAAGAAAAAGCAGCAGTGCGAGAGGACATCTGTAAAGATGAATCGGGACTCCCAGTTGGCAGCGAGCTCCGTTCGTCGCACAACAATGGTCTCGTAAGCCACAAGAGCAACTGTGACACCAACCACCAGCATAAGAGCCAACCGTAAGGATTGATACACTTCTACTTTCACCAGCTGTCGCTTCTCGTTCAAGTCCTGTGTTCGTCGTGAGAGTGTAAGTTGGTGAGGTTCACGGTACATGTGTCAGTATATGTGTCAGTGTATGTGTCAGTATATGTGTCAGTGTATGTGTCAGTATATGTGTCAGTATATGCGTCAGTGTATGTGTCAGTATATGTGTCAGTATATGTGTCAGTATATCTATGTGTCAGTATATGTGTTCATCGCAGCATGCTGCATTATCTTCAGTCTGCGTCAAGAAAGGCATGATCAAAACTGTTGCTACAAATATAAAATTACCGTAATCGTTTCCTGCAACGCGCTCAAGATCCAGACATAGATAACGGACACGAAAAAGCTTCCTGGAGTGACGAAAAGGAGGATTTTCCAAGCCTCATATTCATCATTGATTCGGTTCTGGGTCATCAACGCCATCTGCCTAATGCCATCCGAAACGATAAAAGCGATCACCGGAGGATGAAAAAAGCGGAAAAGAAGGGGGAAGATGGTCGTGGTGTGATACTTGAGTAGTTTCTTATCGACTACCAAATTGTTGTTCAGCCACTTCGACCTGCTCACGGCAAAACCACAAAGATTTAATCACAAATACAAACTGACATTTTCTAAGTGCTTTACCGTTAGCACTGCGTCAGAAAATATCCTTGATCAACGCGAACTCATAAAATCCCATGACTCGAATCAGGGTCTTTCCTTCCAGTCGAGGCTTGGTGACACCCAATCCCAAGCAGGCCAAAAGAAGGACCCCATAGCAGAGGCCTTGTTTCGCAACAGTGCCGAAGCTGGCTAGGGCCATCATGGACCACCAACGATGACCAAGGAAGTTCCAGTGGAAGAGAGAGATGTACCTGTAAGGATTCAAGTGGAAGAGAGATATGTACCTGTAAGAAAGTTCCAGTCAAAGAGAGAGGTGTACCAGAGGTGTACCTGTAGTAGTTCTTGAAGTTTCTACTTCTAAGATCGTGGATTGCCGGAAAAGAAAAAATGAGCAGTGTAATAGCTTATTCTTGACCTGACTGCAAAAGATACAGGATAGGATAAGATAGGATAGGATAGGATAAGATAGGATAAGATAGGATAAGATAGGATAAGATAGGATAAGATAGGATAAGATAGGATAAGATAGGATAAGATAGGATAAGATAG